CAATCAGCTGGTTTTCCTTAGACAGAAAACTTTGTATCAATTTGACTGTATGATCTGGTTGATCTGTAAAGTGCCTTGAGATGACATGATGTGAATTGGGGCTATAGAAATAAACTGAATTGAATTCAATTGAATTGAAAGCTTGTCCTGTGGTGTACCACATGGAACTGTCCTCGACTGCTTACATTTTGAATCCCTGTTTCTCTTTGAACAGTTCAGTAACAGTTCAGCATTCATGTCACAGCCTGTTTTCTACTAAACCCAAAACCGCTCTGATGATGACATCATCTGCAGATAAATGTAAGCCTCAAGGCGTAAACACAGAGCTTTCCATTATACAGAAAACAAGATGTGGAGCAGGTCCTGACCTGTTCCACAGCAGGTCTCTGGAAGCACCTCCAGCAGATCGGCTCTGTTCATGTGCTTGAAGATTTTCCTGGTTTCCTCCACAGCCTTTGCTCCCAGCTCCTCCACCATTACATTCACCATTTCTGTCAAACTCAACTTTGTGGTTTGTGAGGAATTGGGGTAAAGGAGCCTCTTGAGCTGAAAAAACTCAGCTTGACTCAGAGAGTTGAAGGTTTCCAGGAGCAGATGTTTAACAGCTGCCATTAATGCCACCTGAAACATTCAAAACAGTGTGAACTTTGTTCAATTCTCTAAATCTAATCTACAATAATACGTATTTATCTGGTAATTAAAGAATAGTTGAGAAAACTACCAGGTTTTCTAAGAAAATGTTTTTCATTTAGAGGATTTTTACTTTGCATTGGTTAATCTCACTTTATGCTAAATCTGGTTTTTATTCTTTGGGCCGTTTCTGCAGCATGGAGGTTGGATTATTACTCACTTTCTGGATGACACTGGAGCTCCGTTTCCTCTCATAAAGTTTCTCTAAGGAAAGAAGCATGTTTACATGATAAAATATTGATTTCATAATGTCTGTTAAGCTTTAATCTTACTTTCTGTGGATTGAATGAGATTAAACACCAGGTCCTCCCTGTTCATGCTCTGGAACAGTTTCACCATCTTATCCACAGGATGGTGGCTGTAGGTCTGCACCATTAGAAACACGGTGTCCTGCAGGTCAGCCTCCATGCCCAGAAGCCTCGATGAGACGCATAAGTACGGACTGTTGCACCGGGCCCAACTTAGGATCTTCTGGATATCTTTTAGATCCCTGACAGTCAGACCATCCAGCTGTTCCAGCAGCCTCTTGATAACGGACTCCATGTATCTTACCTGGGAAAGGAAAACCGGGATTAAAGCTGAGAGGAAAAACAGAGTTCAGCTGTTGGTGGATCTGACTTATCAACCAGTTACTCACTTCCTGCTTCAGTTCAGGCCAAGCTTCGCTCACAGAGGCCTTCACTGGAAGCAAAGGTAATGGTTCAGCTCATTTCTAGGCTTTATACTCAAACATGGTTTGTGTAAAATTGCTTTGATATAAATTCCATAGAGAAAATAAGAAATAGGGTTATTTATTTCTTTATTTTTCAACTGAATGGGTGTAACATTATTTTATTTTTTCGTTTGTTTAGTTTTATTGCTCTCAATAAAGGAAAAAATGATCTGTTCTTTGATATTTCCCTGTTTAGCCTTAGGCGTCTAAATACTGCCACCTGCTGCATTTAAAGTGTAATGCAGTTTTCATCTGTCATTAGGATGATTTCCAGAAATGTCCGGCTGTCATTTAGAGTAGGGGTGCACCGATTGCAGTTTTCCGGCCGATTTCCGATCACCGATCTGACCTGCCGATTCCGATTTTTGGTTAATACCGATTTTATTATTTTTTTTGCTATAACCAACACTGTGTTACAAGATCGTAATTCACTGTCAATGTTAGAATCTTTTCTTGAAAAACATGCCCTTGAACAATAGCCTTGAACCTTTATAAACTTGTTTTAACTGCCCATGAGGTAGAGCCTTGACATAGAAATGAATTAAATAATAAATATTAAATAAAACAAACTTAAGACTACAACATTGGTCTTTTGATTTTTTTAAATTTCAAAAAACAAAACTTCAACAAAAGATCAGAAAAAATATGGAATAGCAACTGATTTTAAGACACTTGTGGAGGTAAATAGATCCGAGGTTAAGATCGGTTTCATATGTAAATATCGGCCGATCACCAATCACCCTAAATTAAGGAAATCGGGGCCGATCGATCGGCCGGCCGATTTATCGGTGCACCCCTAATTTAGAGCAATGAAAACATAATTACACAAATTAACTGGAACTATTTTTTAAACAAACCCGACCTGTAAATCCTGAAACAGCAGCAGTGTTATGCTGTGGGCCGTTTTCACTGCTATCGCTACAACCAACAAGTTAAGATAAAGGTTCATTTCTTCTGAATTCTTTAACTTCCCTCAAATCAAGCCTAAGACATGGAGAATTTCCACTAAAAAGTCCTAAAACAATGAAAACATCCAAATCTAGATTTCTCTCACTGTGAGAGTAAATATATATATATATATATAAAAAACAATAGGTTTTAGCTTTCACTCAAAAAACTTTTACTTTTTGGTGCAAAATTACAGCAAATATTTCGATGCAGCCTCAGATTAAATCTAGAAAATATATAACATATATAATATGCAATTTAATAGATTAAGTTATAAAAATAATATAAAACTAAACTTTTTTTTCTATAAATTTGTCATTCCTGACTTTGGTTTTTGAAGAATCTTTAATTCACTATAATTAAACATGTTTTACCAAACAGAACTGAAAAGAATCGCAGTAACTTTAGAAGAATATTTTCCTTCTGACCTTTAAAGCAGGAACTTTGCACTGGAAGCTTCTCCACCAGATCAGACCTTTTCATGTCCGTCAGAACCTCCTCAGTCACCTGCAGACACTCGTCACCACATTTAGTCCACATCATCATCACCAAGTCTGTCCTGTTTGCAAACTGCATCTCGCTCCATGGGATTTGTGGAAGACGCCTTTGGAACTGAGTCAGCTGCAGGAACCATTTAAATTTCATGAATTCACTTCCCTTCAGGTCATTCAGCGTTTCCAGAACCAGATCTTTGGTTACAGCCACGGCCGAAACCTAAAAGATTCAAAAGTAGAAAGCACTGAGATAAAGATCCTGGCTGCAAACCGTGGAGCAACACTTATATTGACTCAGCAGATCTAGATTTAAGTAATGTTCTTTTCACCAATGTTGTTTCTAAATGGCGGAAATATCTAACAAATGATACAAAGACGATGTTTATTTAGTCTTTGGGGGTCTAAATATTCAAAGAATTCCATTAACTGGTAAATCTGAAGGCTCAACATAATATTTTGGTTTGTTTCTGATGCCAGATTAGGCCTGGATGTTTGTATTAATCAGCTTATTAATATCTGGAGAACTATCTAAACTATTCATGCTTCTATTCTTCATCAAATGATATAAATGTTCTAATCATGAACTGTATAAAAGTAAAGGAATAAAGATGAATGTCTGTCTTTCTTTCTGCATCATATGAAGTTAACAGGACCGAAAACAAACCAGATAACTGAATGAAACCTCAATGTTTTTCTTGGGATCTGTCTTCACTCACTCTGTGGATTTCTGCAGACAGAAGCTCATCAAACCGTTTTTCTGTGGAGAAATGAGAAAATTCAGCAAAGTTATAGAATAGAAATAACTGATCTGCTGCTGATTTTCCTGCCCATGGTGTTGATGGTTTGTCTGCGTCGTTACTTTTTGCTCTGGGGCAGCTGTCCTCCATCTGTTCCAGCAGATCTATCTTCCTCATAGACTTTAGGATCTTCTTAGCCACCTCCACACACTGTCCAGCGTGTGTCTGCACCAGTGAAAACACCAAGCTCTGCTGCTCCAGCTTCTTCACAGGAATCCAATCACAGCTCGTTGTTTTCATCAACAGCTTGTAGAAGATCTGCAGCTCACTGGGAACCAGATCAGCCAGTGTTTCCATCAGCTGCTCTATTTTAGACTCCATCATTTCTACCTGTTCAGGTTATAAAACATTCAGGAAGCAGAAATAAGTTTATATGCTTTGACTGGAAAAGATTATTATCACTCATTATAACAATAGAGAGATTATATAGAGTCCTGATGATGGATGGATGATGGATGGATGGATGGATGGATGGATGGATGGATGGATGGATGGATGGATGGATGGATGGATGGATGATGGATGGA